TGCTAGAAAAATATTGTGAGACATTCTAACCGGGCTGCAAATGGTAACAGGGCCATTAAACTTCCCAGCCGCGCCAACCACACTCACTTAATCACTAAGGGCAGAAGGAACGTGAGACTCTTTCAAAATGGGATGATGACAGAAATTTCAAAGGGAACGACAAAATGCTAATATATGGGATAATTTAGCTAGAATAATATAAATCTTTAAGTTGTCGTAACTTTAATATCTACACCATTGTATACAAATCTGGTCCAACCTGGTGCCTGAGTGGCTCAGTTGGTTAAGCGTCTGCCTTAAGCTTGGGATCGAGTCCCACATCGGGCTCTCTGCTTGATGGGGAGTCTGCTTCTCGCTCTGCCCCTCCCCCCTGCTTGTGCTCGCTCTCTTGCTCTCAAATAAATAAAATCTTAAAAAAAAAATCTGGTCCAACCTGATCACTACTATAACGTGTGTGGCTCATGCATTTATTAATTGATGAATTCAGCAAACATTAATCAAATGCCTATTACATTCAAGGGATACATTGACACCATGGAGGATGTATTTTTGTTTATAAAATGTAGAGAGTTCGTTAATATAATACTTACATGTACAATACTAAAAGGGGAAGTTTTTAAAGAAAGCCCACCTAATAAAGGAATGAAATCTCAGTAGCTCTTTCTTATTGAAATTAAAATGTTACCAGTTGCAAATTAACGCAGTAGCCATAGTTATTGGCAAATGGTTGGCTTACAATGACGAAACAAACACACAAGACCATACAGTACTCTTATGAGTTACTCATACACTTAGCTAACAAGTCGCATCCAAAAAAAAAAAAAAAAAAAAAGTGAAGATGAGCTCCATGAATCTGTGATGTAATTAAACACAACATATATATTTTAAAAGTCTACAAAGGGCAAGACCTAAAAGAAAAGCCAACCAACCACAAATCCATGCTCTAAACAAGACATCTAATTTGAAGACAGTATAGCATATTATCCAATTTCTTTAGTATGGACTTTCAGAAACAATTTAAATCCAACTACCTGGTATAAATCTACTGCTCAATTTGCCTAACTTCCCTTTAAAGAGCCTAAACTGTTGTGATGAAGTAATATAAGAATAAGCCCTAAACTGAAGTTTCCCCCCTTCTGATCTCAAATCCCCAGATATTATGCAAAATTTTTTTAAACTCCAGAACCATGCTGGAAAGTGAGAAAACATACTGCTAGTGGATAAGACACCATGAGAAACCCCTGAACAAGAGAAAGTGAGAGAGTGGGATGAAAGAAAATCAGCACAGCCCCAAAGGGACACATAAGTATTCACTGCACAAAACAGGGAGGCTCTAGGCTGACCCCAGACTGAAGGAGCAGACTGCAGGACAGAGTGGAGCCCCACCTTGGCTGAGCCATGCGGCCACTGGTTCAGAAAATAAGTAGACAAAACAGGAGAAATAGCCTTTTCACATCCTGTCCCTACCCACTCACTGCAGACACAGCATCCAACAAGAAGCAATGAGTGCAGGAACCTTACCAGAAAAAATCAGTACTGCTAGGTGCTGGTGACACCCTAGAGATATGGTGAACCCCAACACAGGAAAGGGTGTTTCAGTTATTAAAAAAAAAAAAAAATCACTTGAGATTGCAGAAATTAGAAACTGAGTGTTGAAAGGGAAAAATTCAGTATCTGGAGAAATAGCTGACGGCCAAAGGAGTGAGTCAACCCATTTCCCCATAATACAGCACAAAAGGACAAGCAGATGGAAAGTGCCACTGAGGCTGAGGGGTACAGAGGGTAGAGCCCTTAAGTGTAAACAATCATCTATATAAATTAGAAAACTCTTCCAGAACTGCAGACAAAACCCCTCATACTGAAAGAGTAGGCTGCATGTCAAACAAATTTTTTTAAAACACACACACACACACACACCTAGTTACGTTGCAGTAAAAATTTTAGAATAACGCAGAAAAGGAGAAAGTCTTCAAAGCTTCTAGAAGGAAAAGAAAAGCATAGGTTCCCTGTCAAGAAGGAAGCATAAGACTGGCCTCAAGCTTCTCATCAGCAACACTGAATACAAGGAAAAATGTAATACAATACCTACAAAGGTCTAAAAGGAATTTATTCGAGTCTAGAAATGCATACTCAGCCAATTCCACTGAGAACAAATACAGTCTGATTTTCCACCAGGCAAGGACTTAAAGATTTTATGTTTTTTAGTTTCTCTGAAAGAAATATTAGAGGATACACACCAGCAAAAAGAAGAGCCACTCCAAAAGGCAGTAGGATACAAAAGTTAATGATATATACAAAGAAATAGTAAATCTTCGAAACAGTCAAGTAACAATCTACAAACAAAATCCTAGTTGACAATAATCTGAGGGACGGGAGGAAAAAGTAAAAAGAATTAAAACTATTTTTTCCTGTCTTGGAACTATCTCTCGATACTTACAAGAAAAATATGTTTTAATATGGGTGGTGAATATTTGGGTATATTTCCAAAAACACAGAAACATAATTTATAACCTTCAAACAAGAAAAAATTAAATGATGTACTGTATGGTGACTAACATAACATAATAAAATAAAATTTTTTAAAAATTAAATAAAAAAACACTAAAAATGGAAAAGGAAAACACTATAGAAAAATAGACAAAGGTTATAAATAGGCAATCCACCAAAGAATAAACACAATGTCCCATAAACACAGAAGATACCCAATAGTCACCAGGAAAAGGCAAACCAAAAAGCAATGACCTACCATTTTTTAGAAAAATAAACAAATAAGAAGTGTGCTAATATTAAGACATGCTTTGCTGGAGTGGCTATAAATTGGGACAGTTGTTTTTTAATGTGCAAACCGTATCAGCCAAAACTTCTGCTTCCTGCTATGTACTCTAGGAAAACCTTTTCATCTGTACACAGGTACAAAGAGCACATGAAAAGATGCTCGTCGAAACATTTCTGGAGTGGCGAAAAATGGGAAATAAGCTAAATGCCCATCAATGTGGAAATTTTAATGTAATTAAGACAGAGTCTACCACGAATAGCATGCACTGATTAAAAAGAATATTATAGATCTGTAACCACTAACCGGAAATGGTTACAAACAAGAGAAACACAAACTTGATGTGTAATACAGGAGGTTCTTTTTAACCACAAAATGTATCAACATTACTTATGCAATTACAAGTAAGTAAAAAACACATGGAAAGAAAAAAAATTGACAAACAACATAACAGTTTCAGAGTACAAAAGTGGTAGAGAAATAAGTCTATCCATTCACCTTTTTTACAATGTTGCTTTTTGAAAAGCATCATCTACACTAAAACCAATTATGAATGTTACCACGAACGTAACCATCCTCATGGAGCAATCCAACGCATTCCCTCCGAATCAGGACAGTGAATTCTCCAAGTTCCCTCATTCACAAGATTCACTGACTAATTTGTAGCAAACAAAAAATTACTAAAAACTGACAAATTCATCAGGAAAAATGAGGACCAGTTCCCTCCCACTCTTTCCCTCCCCAACTGCAATGGTCTCACACAACACATTAGGTGGGGTGCATCACTGAAAGCTGTCAAGACAACATGGCCAAAAATTAAAATTAAAAAAAAAAAGAAGAAGAAGGAAAATCGGTTTCAGGCAAGGGCAACACAGACGTCTATCTTACGGGGCCGTTCGTGGAATAAGAGCAGGAGCTCGATGCTCTCTCTTTCTTCCTCTCAGTGGTTGCTGAACCAATATGGTCACAACACCATGGACTTGGCAAGCTGGCCAAAAGGCCAGGTGACTCAACACTGAATTTCTTGTCCCTCCAGGTGATTTATCTCAGTGGTGCAAATTTATACCAGAACAGAGCACAGTCGCCCTCGTATCAATCAGGAAAAGATATATATTAAAAGTTGGTTTTTTTTTTTTTAAATGTTGGCTAGCAAAGCGAGAGAAGTTGGCAAGAGAACAAAGCCTGATTTCTCTGTTAGGAAGCCAAAGGGCTCGAGGACAGAGAAATCTGTGGGAAGAGTAACTGCTCTCTCATGAGCCCCTTCAGGGTAAAAAGCAAATACTTACCTTTCTTTTTATGACATTCTCATTAAAAATGAGCAGCAGCTCTATTTTCCTTCAAGAAAAACTGACCTCAAACAATAGGGTCTTCTGAAAACAAAGAATCGAATGTTTGTGGTTCACAGACAGACTCCTCACAGACGAGCAGCCTTCGGCTGTGTCGCCAGCCACTAGGCCAGAAGATCAAATATAACTGTGAGCTGATTAGCTGGTTGACCTCAGCCTAGGTGGGGACTGCCAAGGCACATCACAGATGCCCTGAGCAGTAAATTCTGAACCGGAACACTCGGGTGTTCCTTCCCTGTAAACACGGTGGCTCTCAGAGAGATGGGACTTTGTATGACTCTGGAGATGCAAATGCTGAGGAGGAGTGCGGGCAAGGCTGAGCAGGGGCCTAGAAACCCAAACATGGAAAAGCATGTGTAAGGGCATATTCATGGCGCCCCATCATGAGACACAGCCCTCTGGCAGCAAGACAAGTTGAAGGGAATGTGCTGGATCAAAGTGCATTTTCTTATACTGCTGAGGACACTTTACCACAGCAAGATCCTTCCCTCTCCATTTTCCAGGTGCCAACCACGTATATAACGTGGCCAACAAAGTATCACACTCTTGGCACATAGTTTTTGGATGGATGGATAAATGGATAGAGGAATGCGTGACCAGACAAATGAACAAAGAAACAATGGAATAAACAGCCTACTTTTTCTCCATGGGCTTCAAAGTCATCCATTCAGAATTAATATTCTACTTGCAAAAAATATGCAGCAAAGTTGCTCCCAGCTGACTTCTCCACACTGCACACAAACGTTGCCCAGCTCACCAGAGACCTCAACAGCATACTATATAAAATCTGGGTAGTGATAATCCTCCCGGACTCTCTACTACACCAAGGCAGTTAGAATAATTAATAGCAAATAGAATTCATTGATTCGAATGTAAATTACCACAATTGGGTATCTGCAGGTTTGCCAGGGGAATATTCTTGCTGTTTTCATTTAGGCAGTACAAATCCTGAGTTTCTGGGCTGGATTTAGTCTCCTGAAGAGTCTTGATCCACATAATGTCACAGGAGCATGTAAATGGATTGCCCACCAGGATCCTACACGGAACAAAAATGAAACCCGGTCAGGCTTCTCTTTTTCGGTGTTAACTACGCTAGTGTTTACAAAGCACTACAACATTATGAATTCTATCTGGCCAGCAATCTTCGGAAGTTATACCCACCTTTATAGCTTTATAATACTTATTCATTCATTTATCTAATACTTACTGATCTTCCGCTAGGTGCAAACACCACCGTGGACTCTAAAGGATGCAGAGTGATGCAAGACCTTTCAGAATAATGGGGAAACAAGACAGGAACAGGCAGAACTATAATAGAGGCTAGAAAAGGATGTCTCATAGGATGGGGAAAAATCAGATGCCATAACAAATTTACCACGGCCATTACATAGTAATTAAGATCTTCAGTGAAGATGCCAATAGTTAAGTTATCAGGAACACTAACATACTTATCTCTGACCAGGCTAGAGATTCAAGTGTTATCACTTAATAAGCTCAAACCACAGCAGAGAGCAAAGCGATTTCATCTGACTTTACAGTGAGACCGTAAATACAAAGGGAAGGCTGAAATGTGAGGGCCAGTAAGGTGGTACCAGCTTTCTGCACAGGGCAACCACTGTTCAGCGGGACCGATGCAAGAAAGTTGGAGTAAATGTGAATAAGAGAGCCTGGAAGGGAACTCTGAGACCTCCTTCACACACCCAAGCTCAGGGTTTCTGAGAACAAGAGCAAGCGAGCTCCAGATGGAGCCACTCAGCCCACGGCAGGAGGGTCTGCAAAGAGAAAGCCACCCATCAGCTGAGCTGCCTGGACTCCCGTGGCCTGCAACTGGTAACGAAGGAAGTAGTCAAGAGGAAAATAAAAACCACAAGAAAAAAAAATCTTTAAATGCTTATTTATAATACTCAGTGGCCTATTTAAGATGAATTCCATTTATGGTAATGAGCCTTTAAATGAGGCCATTTACAATCGTTACATAGGCTCTGCCCGGCATTAACCACAATACTTAAGATTTCCTTGAGGACAGAACCTGGGCTTTGCAACATCATTTACTCCTGTGGTTTTCTGGTTGGGTTCGAAGAATCTCAGGGATCCCTGGAGACTCTTCCAGGAGTCTCTTTGGGGAAAATGTGGTCATGGCAGCCTCGTTTAATTTGTGTCTGCTTGATCGCCTCCAAGTATCCCTCCAACAACAAAATAGAACGTGATGCTACTAGATACAGAGTCTAAGGCAGAAGAGATCCACAGTGCATCAACTCCAACTACTGCAAGAGGTTTCCTGGCATTCTAAGTACATGAAAAACTAAAGAATCTCTCAAAAACGGAGGCATGACCGAACCCACAGAAGGGATAAAGAAGCGAAGGATCTTCAGCTCTAACTACAGCAATGTTCACATGAGCACACCACACTGGCAGAGAGCTGGCTCCTTTCTTCAGTTCATGGGCAAACCCCTCTTCCAGTGATTGCCACAGCACCTGACCCTCGTTCCTTTAGGCTTCTAGCTCTCCCACTAGATAGCAGAATCCTGAAACACAGAGAGTGTCCTTCTTACGTCCCCACGGCCCAATGCATGAGTCTGATTCGCAACCAGGCACACAATTAACATCTGCTGAGTGATTTGATTAAATCTGCTGCCAGGAGAAATCAGAGGCCTGTGGATTTGGAGTCAGAACTCTGATTTCTGACCCGTCAAGAAAATGTTCCGCAGTGATGCTCAAAAGGTTCATATTGGGCATCTCTCGCCCTGTTTCATATCTTCCTTAAATTTTACGTGCCCATTCCTGGGTTAGAAAGTTTACCACTTCAAGCCCGGGGAATTGAGTGTATTCCAAAATACTGCCCATCGCCGACACTCGGCCAGGCAACCCTTGTTAAGACCTATCTGCACCTTTTCCTTGCGAGCAGGGGAAGACCCTTCAACTCAGACAATATATACAGTGTGAGCAAAAGCTACAGCCTGGTGTTCAAAGGCCTTGTCCATCTGGGCCCCCCCGCTGACACACTGAGCCTCTGCCTTGGGCTTCTTTGGGCAACTTACCCATAGGAATGTCAACAGTTAGCGCAAGAATGGAGCATGCCTGGAAACGGTGGCTCAGTCATTAACACATGGCGATCTTTTTCCTATCATTTTGCAGCAAAGGAAATTAGAGCATCAGGATAAATCCTGAGTGCAGTGGCAGACCCAGAAGAGAATCGCACAAGGATGGGCAGGGAGGGAGAAAGACGACCTCTCCTCCAACGCTCACCAAGCACCAGTGGACGCCAGGGAGTTCCACCCATGGCTATTTTCCTCCTTGACTGGCTCTGCTTTCCATTAGGCCCTAGACATCACCAACGCTATGAGACATGTTGCCCTTATAACATAAAGCTCCCCCCCACTCCGATCTTTTTCTGCTTTCCCTCCTTTAGAAAACAAATCTTTACGTAAAAACACATTTAAAATCATCCTAAATGATACCTCGCTGTTGAGATTTCTGGGTTTTGGTTACTTAATCGTGTTCTTATGAGGGAATAAAAAAAACAAGTGGCCAAAGCCTGAGAAATCATTTTTTTAAGAATTTTGATATAAAAATAGATCTGCAGCATCACTCATTTAAAAAAAAAATACTAATTACTCTTTCCTCTGAAACTGTTTCCCTGAATGCCAGACAATAATCATTACTTACAGCTCAGACAAGTCAAGGTGACGAAAATGTTTCCTAGACAAGCTCATCAGTTTATTTCGGGTAAAATTGCTGAAAGAGACCAAAAACATTAAATGTGAATTAAAAATGTAACATCTCAGGAAGAAAGTATGCAAATAGAGGTTTTTTTTTTTTCAAAATATAATTTTATTTGATCATGGTTCATGCTTTCCTTCAACATAGTCTCTTTCTTCCATCTGGAATGACAACTTAGTTTTTCCTGCCTCTCCTAAAATTCTTGTTCATAAGGGAAGGGGAAGGGCAGGCATAATTTTCAAAACATCTATTTTTAATCTCTTTCTTAACCAAAAGTTTATTTTTCATATGCTGATTCAGAGGCAAGTTATATACTTCCTAGAGATCTCTGACCTCCAAACAATTAAGAGGAAGAATTAATCTAATTTAAAATCATAAAACTCACTAGGGAAAAAGATGCTTTAAAACTAAACAGCATTATGAATATTTTGAAATTACGTGACACATAAAACTCTGAATATAAACTGAATTTAACACATCCTTATAGGAAAGAATACACCCACTGATTGATAACTCTGGTGGGCATTGTTTATATATGAGTTCTAAATAACCAGATAATTCCATGATGAGGACAAGAACAACAAAATATCAGAAAACAAGGACTATGTCAGATTTCATCTGAAACTATCCTAGCAACGTATCATTTTAAGATCTGGACCAACCAGTGACTTTGGGGCACCTGGGTGGCTCAGCCAGTTAAGCATCTGCCTTCAGCTCAGGCCATGATCTCAGGTTCCTGGGATCAAGTCCTGCACCAGGCTCCCTGCTCATTGGGGAGTCTGCTTCTCCTTCTCCCACTCCCCCTCCCCCCTGCTCTTTCTCTCTGTCAAGTAAATAAATAAAATCTTAAAAAAAAAAGATCTGGACCAACAAGACGGTGAAAAGTCAATGAAACCAAGTCATATTTGTGATTGAAAAAATACCAATGACTCTACTGATGTGTTCTGAATACTTAGTTTTATTCAGTGGGCAGGAGTTTCCATGTCTGATGATCAGGGCCATGAGGCCCTGAGTTGGAAAATTCAGAGCTGTAATCCCGGCAGCTGACTTGTTCCGTGAATGTGTTTACTGGTTGAATTTATTCAAAAAGTGTCCAATGCTTGGGCCTCCAGACATGTGTTTAATAACTAGCAGGAATGTAAAACAAACATCAACTTGGACAAAAACAGCCAAGCCCTCAACAAATTGCAATGAGCCTTTTAGGATCTGTTTCCTGCTCGGGAACGCAAGTGCTAGCGGGGAGGGAAAAACTGGACACCTGAGGGCCACAGGAGTCCGGGCCCCTTCCCCGAGGCTAGTCTGCTGAGTCAGCCCAACAAACTCACGGGTTGCCCAGACATCCCACTATGTCTGACCAGTCACCCCTCAGAGGGGGGCCCAGGAGCTAATGTATGAGCCAAGGCACGTGACAAATACAGAAACTGCTGCTCCAGGGCCCCCCGATTCGAGACTGCGTGTGTCCTCGCCCGCCTCCTTCTATATGGAGAGTTCCACTCACCCAAACCCCTACCTACACAAGGGTTCCCTCTTCCTTCGACACTTACTTCTTCTGTCTTTACACTGAGCGTAAAGTGCTCACCCACATGAAAAAATAATCCCCCGGGAAGTTGTAAAATGTGCCCACATACATCTTTTCTCTTTTCTTTCGGAACGTGAATTAAGAATGAGCTTCATTGGAGTATCATACATTGAAAAGTCAGTCTGCCCGTGTTCTCCAGGCATCTTCAGAAACCCCCACCCTCTGAAGGAAACACAAACAAAACCAGGACTCTTCCTCCCGAGAAGAACCAGGAGAGAGGGGGCAAAGAAAGAGGACACTCTTGGTCAAGGTCTTGGTCAGCGACGAAGCCCCGGGCCGGCACCAGCAGCAGCTGGTCCTGTCCGGCTGCCAGCCGCACAGCCCGGAGTGGGATCACACGCCGAAGAACAAGATGAGTTTTATGAACCATACTTATTACTGGGGCCAAAAGCCAAAAGAGAGGGGGAGGGGAGGAAGAAAAGTCAACAATCCTCTTACTGTTTGATGACAGAACTCTGCAAAGGAACTAATTAGCACCTCTGCAAAGCCCCTGGAAAATACAAACACTGGCTTTTCTCAGAACCCCTGGGGAGGAATTAAAGGCACCAAGAAATAAACTCAGTTACCAGCCACAGGGGCGGTGGACAGGCCCCATGTGATGTTGAATATGCCCAGGGCAGAGGGAGGGGCGGTGAGGCAGGATCCAATCCGAATCTCCCTCAAACCCGAAGTGAAATAATAGATTGCTCTTGAGCACATTGTTATATGGTTGGGGAGACTCAGAGATAATCAGTGTACCCCCGGAGTAAAGAGAAACAGCTTCTAATGCACGTTTCTTTTTCCGCTCCCTGGTACCCAGTGTCAATATCCGAGGTAACTGCAGGAAATCAGGAAAAACAAGCCAGTGCCCAAGTCTTCAGGCATTAGCAGAGGTTGGGACTCGGGTCTGCAAAGGCAAACACCTGATTTGCTCCCTCCTCTCTCCCTGCCATTCTCAAAGCCAACTGCTTAATTCAATTTAATTCTGGTGATTAGGAGCCTCTTTCATCCATGAACACTGTATATGAAGCTTACTGGTCTTATGGCTGCTAAATATCGTCTAACTTTGTTCTGTCTTAATATTTGATCATGCCTACAAATGTCAATAGAGTTTTTGCTGCTTGACCAATGACCTGGCTTCCCGGCTACTGCCTTTTAAAGAAACTCTCTAAGGTATGTCCATCTCTTTGGTTTTCCACTCTCAAATGATACCTCTTTGGGAGACAGGGATAGATAGTTGGTTTTATATAAGTTGTTGACAGCACATAGAATGCCGATAAAATTATTCTACCATATAGCACCCTGAAAAGATACACCAGGTGGCTTTGGTTTTCCTATAAATGGCATGCAACAGGCAGGAAGGGAAAGTATGAAGAGGTAGAGTAAGCCCTTTATGAATAAGTCCCCTTATAAATAAATACATTAATTACTAAAATGACAATTAACCATAGCCCACTGTACACATCACATCGTTAGGGGAAGTGATGGGGTAAAAGAGCCAATAAAATGGAGTCGGGAGAGTAACTCAGGTAGAATGTTAGCTGTAATGAAAATACCAGAACTTAACCACTGAGGTCATTAATTACATTTAAGCGATGGCTTTAGAGCATTTTGACTTTTTTTCCTCTCCGACTTCTCTCTTGTTCATGCCCTCAAGACCTACACAGACATCAGATTTGTGTAGGCAAGCCAACCACAGAGATGACACCAGAGAAGCATTTAAATGAAATGTGTTAATTCAGTTCCGTGGAGTTTTTGCTGAATGTTTTGTATCTTCATTCTACAGACATTATTTTTAAATAGACTTCATCATTAATGCTACCTATAAAATACGAAGTCATGAAACTGGTTTTAGCAAAAAAAGGCTTTTCATAAAATCAATAAATCTCTGTAGAGTGTCCAGGAGACCTGCTCCGAGAGAATGATTTTTTTTAACTGGCATGGAAATCCTCTGGGGAGCTGTTCTCCCCAAGAAAAGAAAGAGGACAAATATTATAAGAAGGGCCGGTTCTCTAATAATTATATGGATGGCATAGATTTTATTTCCCATGCTCTTACTGTAAGAGCTTAGCCAGGGGTGGGCCCTGGAGTCATAACTCTTGTCACTTTCCATTTGTGGACCTGAGCGAATCTTCGAACTTCCTCAGTCTGGTTTTATGTCCCTGAAATGGGAACCAAAAAGATCTTCCCTGACAACTGTCAGAAAATTCAACAGGAGAGAGTCCTACAGGTAAACTGTAGATGAGGAGACACAAAGCATCATTACAGAGAATTTGCAAAGCACCCAAAGGCCAACAAATGCAGGCAACGTGCCTCCGCTGAACACTCTAGGGCTTAGGGAACACCAATCTGAGCTGAGGGGCAGGTGAGCCTCTGTTGAATGAAGAAACCTCCCAGGAAGGCCATACCTTTTGGACGACAGGCCCTCATCTGACAGGACCTAGCAGCAAACACCCTGAGGGATCCCACTGTCCATATTTCCAGCTGACTTCAGTTGACAAAGCATCAACGTGACTTTGGTGCAAACACTTGCTATTTTATAATCGTCTGAACCTTCGGTGGGTCCCATGATCGATTTTTCCCCACTTTTATCAACCACGACAGGTAGCTTTGAGAAAATGAACTTTCAAAAGAGGATCTATGGGGGTGGGGGGAGTGTTGGTAATTTTTAGTTCCCTAAAAAGGCCAAGGCCAAGTCAGTTTCTTTCAATTCCACTAGTTTGATGTCTTCCAGGGAACATGTCATGATTCCAAGGAAAAGAATCAAGGACCGTGTACCAGGACATAGTTTTCACATCAGACTCTGCCGTTGGCCTACTGCTCCGTCCAAGATGGAAATGGCCCAGAAATCCATGAAAGGGAATACACAGGCTGTTCTAAGTACCCCTCTGAAGCTATTCAAAAATCAAAGCTAACATTTCTAAGCTATTGTCACATCTATGCTAACTTAAAAAAAAAAAAAAAAAAAAAGAGGTTGAGTCTTGGAAAAGAGAGAAGAAAAATATTGAATACATTGGGTCCCGGGAAGCAAAAGAATCAAACTTTACTTACATGTGCTGTAAGTTGCTGTTTTTCAGAAACGCTTTATGAGCCACAAATTTTAATCCAGAATCCACGATTGTCCTAAGAAAACACATAATTGCACGTACATTAGAACGAACTGGTTAATGCCTGCTTGACTATAACAGAGCATAAGAAAAAGTTCTGAGATAAGGTACGCCAGTCCGGAGTACTTACAGATTTTTCAGTCCTGCATAAGCTTCAACGTCATCTTCGTTGATGATTTCCAACCTTTTCTGATTGGCAATGTAGCTGCAAAAAGCACGGAGAGTGAAAACCAGTCACTCAGAATGCAGACAGTACATGAAAAGAAGTGGTAGCATCCATCCTACCTCACCAGGGCGGCGAGCCCTCTCCACCCACCCGAGCCCCACCCGTTTCCTTAAAATACAGAAGAGGAGGAAAACTGAATGTGACTGAGAAGAAACCATGATTGAGCAGGTTTCAAGGTCAACGACAGGTTCACCGAGTTTCCTTTTTTTCTTAATCCTTTATCACTTCCAACTAACAAATTCAGCCTGCCTTCCCTTTCAAGGTTTCCCCTGTGTACAGAGGGGAAAACAACCTGGAAATGCATCCGCTACCTCTCAAAAGTGTTTCCTCCTTATGGTGACAGCCACAGGGATGCTGGCATCATCACACGCAAGACAGATTACATCTCTCCCTACACGCCAGGACAACCAGTCAGTCCTTCTTTTTACCTCCTAAAACACTGACGCCAATTCTCCTCCCCTTTCCCTCCCTCCTCCACTCCCTTCCTTTCTTCCTACTCCCTCTTTTCCGGGCCCAGGATCCCCTTTTTCTGCCTTGGTCAGCACTACTATCAATATCTCCTTTCAGGAACCACATTCACAAAGCCCACATGGTCCTAGTTTCTGCAGGAACCCTCCTTTTCCCCACCCGCCAGACCCTCAAGTACGGGAGGAAAGTGGCGACAGAATTCCATCCCCTTGGCCATGATGATTGGCTTAGAGATGTTCATGTGGCCTCAACCAGACCAGTGAAAATTTTCCCTAAAACTGAATAGATGATGCTGGGACAGAAAGAGACTCTTTCCCTGGGATCCTAGTAGAAAGATTATACAGTCCCAGGGCCTCCATGAGAAGTTTTTCTGCCACGAGGAAAGAGACTCTCTAATAATGAAGTCAGCACACAGAAGGAAAAAGAGCTATGAGATATAACAAGAGAGAGGACCTGAAAAATGCCACTTGAGCCCTTGGATCCAGATATCTCTGAGGTCAGATGTCACTAACGGAACTTTGATCTGAATTTCTGTCACTTCCAACCAATAAAATCCCTAGTAATACAAACACAAAGCTATTAAACCGACCACCATGGACTACCCTTGTGCTACAGTTATTCAAGTAGCTGTCTATTCATTTTTCTTAGGTCATAACCTCTTTGAAGACAGCTGGATCCTGTTCTATAACTCTTAATAACACCACAGCATCTAGCAAAGTACCTTGCACAAGGCAGGTATTCAAAGGATAAAGGGTAGATGGGTGGATGGGTGGATGGACAGATGGATAGATGGATGGATGGACATCCACGGATGGGCAACAACTGAAGTTCCAAAGGCACTATAAGAACTTGTGTCAGGATGGGTCTTCCCCTCTCTTTTTCAAAAAAAAATTTTAAGATATGTAACATATCCCAATTAAGACACTTGAAAACAAGTATGTAGCCCTGCTCGTACCACTGTGAGTTAAAATGAAAAACAGTAACCAGTGGGGGAGAAGATACAGCATCTATAGGTCCCTTCTTCTACACAATCCATAAAAGGAAAAACAGATGTCAAGATACAGGGTAAGAGTTGGGGCATCTATTTTTAGAAAATAAATTTTAGAAATAAAGTAAAATAAGGAAATGCTCTGAGAAAGCAAAATCACACCAAACAAAAATAATTTTCAAAGGATCCACATAAACACTGTTCTCTGTTTCATAAAAAGAAAAAAGAAAAGAAAAGAAAAAGAAAAGCAACTTCCAAGATAGAAGGAGGCATCTTCTGCTCGAAGATCTTGGTTCTCCCTGATATCCAGGGCCTGGCACTTAATAGATGCACAGGAAGGATTCATTCCCTGCTCTCCTTCTACTACACTGGAAGGAAACACTTTTAAGACTCCAGCCTAATGCTCAAACAATTTTCAATATCAAGATTTTAAATCAAACTTTAGATTAAATTATTCCACTAACATTTTCAATAGAGACCATAGTGACCACCCTCTTCCAAATTATCTCCCAATAAGAACTTCATTCCAGAGAGCCCTAAATATCAATGCCTTTTTCATGTAACTGGCAGCAAAAAGGGCAGATAGCATGGACAAGTTTTCCTTTGCAGTCATAGCCAGGACTTCCAGAGAAGTCTGTTCCTACCTTATAGCTGAGCTAGCGTGGTGTCTGTCACTGTTCTGAAATCATCTAAGAATTTTTCAGCTCTCTGGGTGAGATCGTCACTGTATCCTCCATGCTTATGACAGGGGCCTGATATTCAACAGGTACTTAGTCAACTGCTGTGGCACAAAGCATTTATCTTTAACTTTTCTTTTAGTTTTTGGCGGCCTTTTTTAAATTTCATTTTCATCAGATTTTTATTTTTTTTAAGATTTTATTTATTTATTTGACAGAGAGAGACACAGCGAGAGAGGGAACACAAGCAGGGGGAGGGGGAGAGGGAGAAGCAGGCCTCCCGCGGAGCCGGGAGCCCGATGTGGGGCTCAATCCCAGGACCCTGAGATCACGACCTGAGCCGAAGGCAGACGCTTAACGACTGAGCCACCCAGGCGCCCCTCATCAGATTTTTAATTGATAAACTCCCCAGTTGTATTCAATAAAATACAATGAGCTAACACAAATTAGAATGGAGGACATAGAAGAAAAAAAGGGGGGCAGAGATAAAGAGTAACAGGCTTAATTTTAAGCCTTCCAGTCACCGACACTCTAGAAAAGAAGGAAAAGGAGATAAATTTCATCGGTGGTAAATTCACAGTGTTCACAAGATGAAAATATGTCAGACGTTAGGCAAGGCGTAACAGTTCCTGGATCTAAGACCAGACAGGAGATTGTGCTGAAAACCATCAAAAGAACCATGTGAAATTATGAAAAATGGTCACTAGAGAATACTTTTCCACTGTGGAGGCAGGAATGCCCTGGATAAATCATGAATGTAGTCAGAATGGAAAAACGAACAGAAGAGCTGGATTATAAAAGACACACAAGTGCACTCCAGCTGCCAAGAACTGCCCCTCGTAAGTTACCATCTGCAGACCTACTCACAACATAGCTGCTGGCTATAAACTGCTCATCGATTCTACCCCCACTCCCAAGAAAGTTTCCTGAGCTACCATGAAGTGAGGAATCACAGGGTTAGAATGGAAACTAGTACAGGTAATAACAGACGATTCACAGAAGGAAAACTTCAGTGGCCAAGAAACAGATGAAAAACTGCTCACCCCACAAGAAATCTGAAGTGCAAATTAAAACAAGGACATACCACTCCTCTCCCACTAGATGGACAACATGTTTAAAGTCTGACAATGTAAAGCATTTGCAAGGATGTGGGGGATTTCTCTTACACTGTTGGAGGGAGTGTAAATTAGTACAATCACTTTGACGAGCAGTTTATCCTGGCAAATGATACATCAGCACACTTTACAACCCAAGAATCCCGTTTCCAGATATTTACCTGAGAAAAATCTTACACATGTACACACAGAGACATATATAAGAATATTCACTGTAACACAGTCAGAATTCGAAGTCAGAAACAACCCAAGTGTCCATCAATTAAGAAACAGAGGGGCGCCTGGCTGGCTCAGTTGGAAGAGCATGCAACTCTTGCTCTCGGGGTTGTGAGTTCAAGCCCCATGATGGGTGTAGAGATTAGTTAAATAAATAAAAAATCTTAAAAAAAAAAAAAGAAAGAAAGAAAAAGAAACAGAAAACAACCAGAGGGGAGGTGGGAGGGGGACGAGGGAAATAGGTGATGGGGATTAAGGAGTTCACCTGTCATGATGAGCATGGGTGATGTATGGAAATGTTGAACCACTATGTTGTATGCTTGAAATTAATATTACATTGTATGTTAATGACACTGGAATTAAAACTTAAAAAATTTTTTAAAAGAAACAGAAAAAATAAGGTTTAAACCTGAATTAAACCAGATCTTTGTATGTGATTAGGATGAGATCTTCACGCTGAGAAGACTATATAAGCAAAATTCCACGCTGATATGTACATATATATGTAACAATTTATGTGAACTTTTAAAAATACACAGAAAACAACACCGCATAATGCTCACAGTCAAGGATATTTGTAAAGCATAAAAAGAAGACCGCAGGAAGGCCACCTGGGGAAAGGAGGATGGGTCTGGGATAAAGAAACTTTATCTTATTAAACTAGAAAACGATTTCTCTTATTAAAAAAGACTTGTAACAAAAAAAGACAAAAATGCTAGCATGCTAGTTCCGAATATAAGTACATGAAGTGTTTTTATGTTATTGTGTTTTTTTGAAATTTTTAAACTTAGGAAGAAAAAAGAAAGAAGGGGAAGGGGAGAAGGAAAAAAGGGAGGGAGGGAGGGAGGAAGGGAGGGAGGGAGAGAGGAATGGAAAAAGAGACAAGAGAAAGGCACACAGGTCAAGTGACTGCAGGGAGGCTGGACCCCAGGACTTTGGGGTTAGGAGGTGGTCACATACCCCTGGGCTCAAGTTCATGGTTCCCTGGACCACCAAAAAGGCATTCTGACAGCCTTCTGCTCCCAGCCCCAGAGCCCCGGACAGGAACCAGCAGATTAAGGAGCATGTTGGGCTGCCCCCTACTGGTGATTTCCACGGGCCTCCCGCAGGCTATTGGCCACACCAGGCCTGGAGCCATCAGCTGCAGAGACCAACCCTGGGTTAGGAAGGAGAGAAAACGGCGGCCAGGGCACACAGCTGGAAGATGCACATCCAGGCCAGGCTTCTCCCATCACTCCAGTCACAGTGCCACGAAACTCTGAGGGCTCTTGACTGAGGTAAACTTGGCTAAATAAAGCACATCCGCAAGAAGGGTTTCGTTCCCCCCCGAAGCAGTGGGAAAGCCTGGCATTTTGGCACAAGCCTTCCTCAGCGGCTTTCTCTCCATGACAACCCCTAACTCCTCTGACCTATGCCCACTGTTCTGGAAAGCTTAGGCCCCAGGGGTTTTAAGGTACAAGACGTCCACCCAGAGCCCATGTCCCAGCACCTGTCTGTGAAGGAAATGCATATGAG